CTCTGTGATTTTTCTACACTATTTTACTATCTTCTGTTAGAAAATAACATTTAAGTATTAGGTATGCAATACATTCAGATGAACACTGGCAAGCGTTCTGGAGAATGAAGAACCGAATACAGAATTTCTTTTTTTCATATTTCACAAACAGCAGAGCCAGAGATGGTGTACCAGTTATGCTGTTGGACTCCCACGTGGCCAATCACAGTTCAAGTCCCAGATCCGGTGGCCTGAAAATCATACTAGGTGCTTGCCCAAGATCCCGGGAGAAGACTAGAAAAGAAGAGATTTTGGTGTGGCCATCCTCCCTAGGGGATGGTTTCTGACTTTCCCTCTCGCTGTCTCTCTCTCTCTCTCTTCTCCCTCAGCAAGCACACATACCCTAAGGCAAAAACCTCTAAATAAATAAATAAATAAAAATAATGTGTGTGTGTGTGTGTGTATCTGTCCTGTCCATTACAAAAACTGAGAGAACTGGGTAATACCAGGTACCAAGTTCATAAATCAAAACGGGTCAAGAGATCCAGCCTCTCTGGTGCAGTTAACGGTATACCAGACTGCAGCGCTGGGAGCCACATGGTGACCCAGGCCCAAACCCTGGCCTGACTGGAGGAAGGGGGATCGTGATTCATGATGTGACCAGATCGATCGATCTCTCTCTCTCTCTCTCTCTCTCTCTCCCCCCCCTCCCTCCTTCCCTCCTTCCCTCTCTCACACGTGTGCAGGCTACTAAAAATAAAGATAAACTTTTAAAATTAGTTAGAGGGCCAGGAGTGGTGTGTCAGTAATGCAACAGGATTCACACAAGAAGGCCCTGGTCAATGTCCAGGACCTCCCTACAGACCCTGGACATGATGTGTGCCCATCATCCAAGCAAGCTGAGATGGGGGGAAAGGGGGACCACGGCATCCTGCTGGGAGTGTATGTGTACATGTCTCCCTCTCTCCCTCCTTCTCTCCTTCCCTCCCTCAAGAAATAAAACAAAAAAAAAAAGAGTTAAACTCATTTTTTTTGGGGGGGGGAGAAGTTTTTGCTGTAGGGTGTGTGTGCTCCCAGAAAGAGAGAAATCACCCCACTCAGGGGGATGGCCATGCTGCAATCCCTTCTCTCCCATTCTCCTCTTGGGATCTTGGGCATGCATGCACATGTGCCCAGCATGAGTTTAAGCTGCCGGGTCTGGGACTTGAACTGCAGTCGATTATGTGGAAGTCCAGAGATGTGGCCATTATGCCATCTGCTAGTCCCAAGAGTCAGAGTCTTAAGGATCGCCTGATTTAAATACAGTAAATGCAAAACGATCCAATACCAAGTACAATGAAGCTTCGTGGAAACTAAAATCAAGTCCCAGTTATAGCTATAATTACTATATGTTTAAAAAGGAATTTTAAATTAAGAGATAAATGGACTAAATTAACCCACAGGTTGCACGTACACACACAAAAACAACTTCTGAATCTCTGGTACACAAGATTCCCATTCTCAAAATTTCTCAATTTGTTTACCTTTTTCTTCTTTCCTCATTTACTTAATTTCCATTCCCACTATTAGGCAAATACTATTTTAAACACAAATAATGATAGAATAACAAGCCCTTGTTTCTGAGACATTCATAATTTAATTGGAAAAACTGATACATTGCAAGACATAAGAACTAAAAATATACTCATATTTCAGATTATAAATTATAGAAAAACGCATTCATATATTGATAGAAGGTGGAAAGGAAATACATGAGTGTTCATGTATTATTTTTAATTTTCCTAGAGGGGACACGTGGTCACCAGAGAGACAGAAATAGAGAAAGAGAGATAAACCCCCAGTAGAGTGGCCATGCCACAATCTCTTCTCCTTTATTCTCCTCTCAGGCACGCACACATGCCTAGCGTGTTTTTTGAAGCCACCAGGTCTGGGATTCAAATCACACAGTCAGCCATGTGAAATCCAGCTGGCTTAACCACGATGCCACTGGCTGGCTCTAAATACTTTTTATAAGCAGCCAATGTAATTAGCTTTCACCTGAGTATGACTATTTTAGTTATATTATCAAACCTATTTCAAAAGTTGGACCAAAATTACTATATTCTTATTCACTCAGTTGGAAAGTTCTTGAGAAATATTATTAAGTAGCACATCCAATCAAAAGAACTGCATCTGCCAGAACTCTATCACTTTACCTTTAAAGACTAAAAAAATTAAAATTCCTTCTTCCATACTGTAATGGAAGAAAAGTTTATAGAAAATTCTGTCATTCAAAAGTACAAACGAAGAGCCAGGAGGTGGCAGGTGGTTAAGGCACTGGATCCCACATGGCCAACTCCATGGTTTGGGTCCCAGACCCAGTGGCCTGAAAAACACACTGGGCACATATGTGTACATACCCAAAATCCCAAGAGGAAAATGGAGAAGAGACTGAAGCATGGCCATGCCCATGCCCTCCACCACCACTAGGGGTCTATGATGATGATTTCTCACTCTTCTCTCTGCCTCTCTCCAACACACATGTGCATCCCATGGCAAAAATAAATAAATAAATAAACCTTAAAAAAAATGACAAACGAACCAAAACACAACAAAAATATTTAATATATTAGGTCATCAGGGAAGTCATACGTGTTTTTCTATGCAAAAATGTGTCACGACTTTCTAGACACCCCAATACTTTATGTGCCAACCTACCTAGATTTTATAAAGAAGGCTACTTAAGTAAGAGGCACTTGGGGCCAGGCAGTGGCCCAGCAGTAAAATACGCTCTCTGTGAGGTTAACCAATGCGGGAAGGTTTTGGGTTTGCATACGGATAACTCCCAGAACAAGCCAGGTGCACCAGTGCCCACAATCCAAGCTGGCTGAGGCTTGGAGTAGATTGTGCATCCAGACCTCATCTGGGGGTGCTCCTCTCTATCTCCCTCTCACATGGAAAAAATTAAGTTAAAAACACTTAAAACTCGGGACCGGCAGTTGGCGTAATGGCTATGTCATTTACCTGAGTAGTACCCATGTAGTCGACCATGAGAATTTAAGCCACTGAGTCCCACACCCGGTGGCTTAAATTCACACCAGATGCGTGTGCATGCATGCCCAAGATCCCAAGAGGAGAAGGGATATAAATAAATAAAATAAGAAAGAAAAGAAAAGAAAAGAAAAGAAAAGAAAAGAAAAGAAAAGAAAAACACTTAAAACTCAATTCTGTATTTAGCAAAACCTGAGATGAGCAAGCTTTGTAACTCACGCCACTTCATGTTTTAAATCAGTCACGTATTTATGAGCAGTACCCTCTTTTCAGAGATTAAGGTTGCTTTCATTTTCTTTCTCTAAAATCTGTCATTGTTGGGACCAGCAGATGGCGTTAACGATTACGTCATTGGACTCCCACATAGTCACCCCACGGTTAGAGTCCCGGACCCTGTGGCTTGAAACTCACACTGGGTGCATGTGCACACATGCCCAAAATCCTGAGAAGAATGGAGGAGAAGGGACTGTGGTGTGGCCATTCCCCCAGGTGGGTGATTTCTTCCTTTCTGTCTCTGTCTCTCCAGTGAGTGTATGTGCCCTATAGCAAAAAATCTCTCAAAAACAAAACAAAACAAAACAAAAAACAAGCCTGTCATTGTTGGGCTGGCCCTATGGCACAGTGGTTAGGGGAGCCAAATGTCACATGGCTGACCACGCATCCCAAATCCTGGCCCTACAGTCTTGAAAACAAGTCAGGCACATGTGCTCATATGCTCAAAATCCTGACTAGATTGGGAGTGGAAGAGAAGGGTTGTTGCATGGCCACACCCCATTGGAGGGTACTTTCCCTCTTCCTCCCTCTCCTGCATACATGGCAACTGGAAAAAAAAGAAAAAAGAAAGAAAAGAAAAGAAAGAAAGAAAGAAAGAAAGAAAAAGAAGGAGAAGAAAGAAAAGAGGAGCAGGTGAGTGATGTGGTGGTTAAGACTAGACTCCCACATGGCCAACTTCAGTTTGAGTCTCAGGCCTGGTAGCTTGCTTTCTCTCTCTCCCTTTCTTTCTGTCACGCTCTGGTCAAAATCAAAGAAAAATAATAAATTAAAAATAAATAAGTCTTTTAAAAAAAAAGAAAAACAGTGCTGGAAGATACAATGTAAACTACCTAAATTGTATGTCTGAGGATGGTTAAGGGAAGGAAATATTTATTGGATTGTCAGGAAAATCACAATGTGTTTTTCTAGGCAAAATCCCAACACTTGTGCCTATACCATGATACATGCTTACTGGCACAAACTGAGTACAGTTGTGCCTGTACTTGTTTTTAAAAAAGAAAAACACTGGGACCAGCAGTTAGCGTAACAGCTATGTCGCTAAACTCCCATGTAGTCGACCACGGTTTGAGTCCCAGATCTGGTGGCTTAAACTCACGCCAGGTGAATGTGCGTGCATGCCCAGGATCCTGAGAGGAGAATGGATTGCGGCGTGGCCATACCCTCCGCGGGGGCGATTTCTCGCTTTCTGTCTCTCTGTCTTTCTGGCAAGCGCACGCATCCCATAGCAAAAACCTCTCAAAAAAAAAAAAAAAGAGAGAGACAGAGAGAAACATTAAAAATTTCAAAAGTTAAGCATCTGGAAATTTTAATATAGGATACAGGGCTCATTTTCACTTCTTTAATTTACCCTGCTGTCCAGGTTAAATGGCTATGCTCCAACCCACCCAGCTCCTCTGGCTAGGGTTTATAGCTAATAATGCACAGAGAACTTGAGTTTGTTCCACAAGCTGGGGGTGTGGGGAGTCCCCAAACCAAACAATAGTATTTGTTTCATTTGGGCTTTGACCTTAAGTTTCTATAAGCTTTCCTTAAGGGATCCAGATATTAAATAATACACTCTGTTTTTCTTTTAATTATATTTCAGACTATCTGAAGCCTATAGCACAGAAACTGAAATTTTGTTTCCTCCCACTAAGTAATACTGAATCAGTAACTACCACTTCCCAAGATCATTATCTCAACCTCCTATGAAAAGAACAGCTTAACAAGTTACTTACTTCAGGTCCTGCAGAAGGTCTTTTGCATTAAGCATGGTGATTAAAGAAGTGGTTGCTGCAGGAATTATAATAATAGGTGTTCGAGAACCTGTACAGGCAGAATTGCAAAGGTAGCAAATATATCATTATTATTAGATGGAACTACACGCTCCTTACTGAAAGTTTAAAATTTATAAATTTGTAATTTTAACCCCTTTGAGCTAAAAAATATATTTTAAATCACCAGCAATATTAAAAATATTTAATAATCAGTGTGGTTTGAAATATCATTCAGAATGGACACCACACACTAACATCTCATATAGCATGAGCATAGTATCAGCATTGGTTTTGCCATCTAATTCATCCACATTCACTTTTCTTAAGTATTTTTATTAACATATAATAATTATACATAATTGTGGGGTGCAATACAATTTTACAGTGTAAGAGTCTAGTGCGTAATGACTCATTCAGGGTAATTAGCATGTCATTTGTCATTACTTGTATTGGGAACACTCAAAATCCTCCCTTCTAGTTACTGTATCTTATAATGCTAGAAATTATTCCTCCTATCTACAATTTTAGTTCCATTAATCAACATCCCTCTTCCCTGCCCCCCAACAATTAACTCTGTAAAGTTTAAAAACCATATGCATAACCTCACCTTTCTTCTGATTTGGGGGAGGTCTTGCTTGAGAAACTGGAAGAGGGAAAGAAAATCACAGTTGAGGGCTATAAAAACCATATTCTTGTAAGGTCTAAAGATTACTTGTGTTCACATGACTAATTGTCATATAAAAATACACTGTCATCTTCTCAAAAAACATTACTAATTCTCTCTTCACAGCAACAGTAGAATGCCTTCGCATTATCCAAGAATCTGTAGTCAGAGGGAGAGTTCACCTATCGCACGGCAGGCACTGAGCCTCTGCGTCAAGGACGTTCAGGTCTAGCACAGAAAGAAAATACTACCATCATGAACTGATTTCCACAGTGGACAGATGTAAAAACAGAACTGCGGGAGCGACCACTGCAGGAAAGGGCGAGAGGAGCGGATCTGCTTAACCATTTTGGAGTTACTGGGAGCTAAGATCTAAAACACTTCCTGTACTGTTTTCCTTTCTCTTTTAAAAACTGCTTTTCATTTTTCATTAGGAGAGAGAGTATTTCAGGCAATGAATTAAACGTATGTAAAGATTTATATTACCTGGAAATGACCGTACTGCTAGTAACTGTGATCACGTTACATAAATATAATGTTCATATCTTTCATTTGTATATAGACTTCATAATACACAGATAAATATGTTGATATAATGGAAATACAGAACTAATTCAATAAGAATATACTTTAGGATAAAAAGTGCCGCATATTCCACTTTTAGTATTTATCTATACAATAAATATTTTTCAGCTGCCTCCAATGTGCCACATGGTGTACTAGAGTTGTTTTTGGTTTTAGAATCACAAAAATAAATAAAAATGTAGAAAATTCAAAATGCTAATTCAACATCAGTTCTTAGAAATAGATACCAATACCAATTTTAGAATCATACAACTCACACGTTTGGAATATGTCCCATTTAAAAGCAGCAAAATCCAATACTTTACCTAATTTTTATACTTCTTTGTACGGCTATTTCACTGCAATCAAATATTACAGAGTTCATATTTCCAGCCACATAAAAAGCAGAGAGCTATTAACATAAACACAAGCTACACAAATACATACTTCTCAGAGTTTTCTCATCTCTCTTTTTATCGAGGACATGTAATAGAACTTTCTAAAAATCATTTTGAGAAATAGGATTCATGGGTAAATTGGATTAGCTTCTGTCATCTGGAATATATACTATAGTTTCAGTAAATATTTAGGATTTGTTCGAGGGATAAAAGTTAACAACAGGATGGATAGGTACATAGATAAACAGGATAAACAGGATGTAGGAGCTATGAGAATGATTAAGAAGAAAAGGGAGGGAGTAAAGAAGGGAAAAGATATGGAGAGGGCTAGGGGAGGGAGGGACCTGCAAATGAAATGCCGCTGATTTAATAAGAGGATCCACAAACAGACTCAAGAATTTAGGGAAACACTGAAATAAAGGCTGAGGAGACCCAATAAAAGGAAAAGGCAAAATATAAAGGCTTATACATATTAAAAATACAGTGTAGAAGTTTAGTAAAAAATTAGCTACAAGTGACTATAAGTGGAGTCCCCCATAGGTAAGGACGAAGGCGGGGACACTGCAATGAAGGTGCCTGGCCTGACTGCAGAGCTGGGGAGCAGCACACACATCATCTGCTCAGCAGAGCGGGCAGTGGCCAGGGCGAACGTGCAAACGAGTCCAGCTCACATCCTCACTGTGCCACTCCCTAGGCAAACTTACCCTGGCAAGTTGATTAGCTTTGTTCAACCTCAGTTTCCTCAACTGTAAAACAGATAGGACAGCCTCTACCTCTTGACACTGCTGGGAGAATTTTAAACCAATAACGCACGCTGAGACCACAGTCAGGTTGGCGCTCTTCAGTTTACCATCTCCCAAACCCTGCACCCACAGCTGATGCCAACTACTCAACACCACCACCTATTTAAACAGAGCATGGGGGCCAATTTGCAAGCAGAGATAAGCCATAAAAAATGATTACTCTTCCTCTGTTTCACTTCAAATATGATTATATTCTTAAGGAATATGTATTCATACCTTATATAAAGGCACTCTGCTAAGTAATTATTAAATGGCAAATAAAACAAGGACATATTTGCCATCAAGGAGTTTACAGCAGAGTAGAGGAACCAGGTCATAAGCAAATACACAAACACATAAATAAATAACCAAATCTGAGGGCCAGCAGGTGGCTTGGTGGTTAAGGACACTGGACTCACACATGGCCGACCACAGTTCTAGTCCTGGACCTGACAGCTTGCTTTCTCTCTTTCTCTCTCTCTCTCTCTGGGCAAATTTTAAAAATTAAATAAAGTTAAATAAAATAATTCTTTAAAAAAAATCTGAGCACTTATTAAGGAACAAAAAGAAGGTAAACTGGCAAAAAAGTGTCTTTTAGATAAGATGCTTAGAAAAAGCCTATCAAGGGACCAGCAGTTGGTGTAATGGCTGCGTTGCTGGACTCCTACATAGTAGGTCATGGTTTGAGTCCTGGACCCGGTGGCTTAAACTCACACCAGGCATGTGTGCGTGCGTGCCCAAGATCCCAGGAGGAGAAGGGACTGCTGCATGGCCATCCCTCCTCAGGCGTGATTTCTCGCTTTCTGTCTCTCTGTCTCTGTCTTTCTGGTGAGCGCAGGCGACCTATAGCAAAAGCCTCTTTAAAAAAAAAAAAAAAAAAGTAGGCGAACTGTCCGCATAAGAGGTGGGAATGAGGGAACCAGCAGTTAGTGTAATGGCTATGTCGCCGGACTCCCACCGAGGTCACTTGCAGTTTAAGTCCCGGACCCGGTGGCTTAAAACTCACGCTGGGCGTGTGTGCGTGCGTGCCCAAGATCCCGAGAGGAGAATGGAGAAGGGATTGCGGCGTGACCATCCCCCCTGGGGGGTGATTTCTGGCTTTCTGTCTCTATGTCTCTACCTGGCGAGCGCACGTGCCCTATAGTAAAAACCTCTCCAAAAAAAAAAAAAAAGAGGGGGAAATGTGAGCGAATGCCAAAGGCAGGAAGAAACTGCTGTGCCAACGGCACTGAACCAAGGCAACTAAACCAGCAAGAGTGGCAGGAGACGAGGTCAGAACATGTGTAGGAGCCATTTCATGGGCGCCCTCTGACCTAACATTAAATCTGTATTAAAGGGCCACCGGAAAGTCCTGTAATTTCTAACTTTTTAAAGAATTTTTAACTTTATTTTATTTACCATCATAATGTTTTAATTTGCTACAGGGCACACACATGTGTGTGAATGAGAGAGAGAGATAAAGAGAGAAAGCAAGCTGCCAGATCCGGGACACGAACCATGGTCAGTCAAGAGGAAGTCCTGTGCCTTAACCACCATGACACCTACTGGCCCAGAGTCCTGTAGCTTTTAAACCAAAAAGTCACATGATTTTGATTCTCATTTCATCTGCAAGGGAAAAAAAGAGTTTAGACGAGGGATGAAGGAAGGAGGGGCAAGTGTGAAAGTACTATGACTGAAACTGAATGACTAAAGGGTATAGAAACACAGTAAATGGTTGTGAATACCAGATATAGTGTGGGGAGAGGGTGAGGGAAGGAGTAGAGTCTGAGGAAGGACTTTAAGGAGAAAAACAGAGAGGCATAGCATTAATGGGACCAAGAAACGGGGTATTATCTATTGAAGATAACTTCACGGTATTATCAACTGGACTGGGGAGAAATGTACACATGTTGGAATATTTGCTTTGCAAGCTAAATAATGTGACTGAATGTATAAAAAAAAACTTGAAATAAAAAATTAATTAATTTTAAAAACCCAAAAGCTCAGCTAAGACTATTACAATAGTCTACAATGCTGCTACTCAAATTATGTGTGGTTGTGTATGTTTTTCCTCAAAACCCAAGGCCAAATGAACAAAATACAGTAACAATGAATAATTTTGTATTTTTCCCCCTTAAAACCCAAGGCTAACTGAATTAACTACAATAATAATAAATTATTTGGAAGTAATTATGCACTTATTATGCATTTGTTAATCCTCCATTTCTACGTGCGCCCTGCTGGGGACTAGAAGTAACATCAGCCGTAGACCACACTATTTTTTAAGATGCACCGTGCTAGAGAGACGACGGTTTCACTTAAGTTGTGGGAGTAACAATAAGGAGAAATAGATTAAGATACAGAAAAGGCAAATTTGATATAGCAAACACTAGATCAGGAAAGGAGTAAAGAAATGTGAAAAGTAAAGAATAACTGGTAAACTTTGGGCTTATGACACAAGTTGGTGACGGCACCACTCATTTATAAAGAAGCAGAAGAACGTGTAATAAGACATCTTGGGGAAAATACCGGGGAAAACATTTTCACCAGTTTCAAGACGCTGATAGCAATCCAATGTTACACAGTTGATACACAATACCAGAGGTAAGAAGAGAAGTCTGAATGCAAAATACACGTCTGGAAATCATGAGCACATGTAAAATTATGGAATGAGTGCAGAAGCACTCCAACCAGCACCTGGGTTATAACTTGGGAAACTGAAGAGCATGAGAAATCTGTGTAAATACACAGACCGAGCTCTCAATCTTACAGGCACAGTATTTGGCAAATAAGTTAGACCTATGAGGGGGGGGGTCTTCAAAAAGTTCATGGAAATGCCTATTGTAAAAAAGTTATGCAAGAATTTCGATTTAATTTTCAAAAATAAATTCATACTTTTAATGCCATTCTTCCATGAACATTTTGAAGTTTCCTCCCATAAGCCGGTTACCCACCTCAGAAGATCTATGAATAAAAAATAAAAAATTAAACCTGAAAAAGTGAAGTATGGATTGCTATGCACTAGAAAGAAGGGGAAAGAAAGAGCAGGGCATGTGCAAAATATTTAATCTGGCTATAAAAAGGAAATGACAGTGAAGTCCGGGACTATAGCTTCCAAAGACAAATGTACTGGAAAACATATATCTGTCTCTTGTTAATTATTTAAAGGTTGAGAATTTTTTAAAGTTCAGGGATTTAAAGTGTTTAACCATGGGTCGGCAGGTGGCATTGGTGGTTCAAGTCCCGGACCTGGAGACTTGAAAAATCATACCAGGTACGTGTGTGTGTGCAAGTCTAAAATCCTAGAAGGAAAATGAAGAAGGGATTACAGTGTGGCCTTTCAAAAGTAAGGTATTAAGATTATATGGGGCTTATAATGGTATAGTTTTGCAGGTGCTTTGCCTTAGATTCATATTCCTTTAGATGTGGCTAGTATTTCCTTTTCTAAAAATTTAAAATGGTAGTCTGTTTGAAATCTGTGTCATTCCTATTTTTGAAGAGGAGTAGAGGAGTGTCCCATGGAATATTTGGAGCAGATTGGATGTAATTGATTTCATAAAATAGGCCTTTTTCTTTTAAAATTTACTCATAATTATTACTACTATTTAAATTTGACCAGAGAGAGAGATAAAGGGAAAGCAAGAAAACATAAAGGAAAAGAGAGAAAACAAGCCGCCAAGTCTGGGACTCAAACCATGGTCAGCCACGTGGGAGTTCAGTGCTTAAACCACCATACCACCTGCTGGCCCTTACAGGCCTGTTTTTAAGTAGAGATGGCAGTACCAGAAGCTGTCATGAGAGTGTAAGGGAGAACAACTAAGTTTATTTGTATGCCTTTTATAGACTAGGTTCTTTGCCAGAAATTAGGAGACCATGAAGGAGTTCTTTTTAGGAAGGAATACAGAAATGAAGGAGATAGGGATAGGCAGATGGGGTCAGGCCCACAACACAGATATCTAAAATTCTAAGCATCAAAGCTACTCCCCAGTCTTAAAACTTTGAGTCTGTGCTTCTGCAGGAAAAAAAAATTCACAACTACATTCACACATATCATCATGGATCTAGGGCAGGAAATTGTTAGGAGGGTGGGTATGGAGCCTTTTAAAACATTGTTCTAAAGTCTGAACCAAAATAAAAACATTTTCTTAAAAACTTAACTATTCAACTATACCTATTCATTCAAATTAACATTCTTACAGTATAACTTTAAAAGTCATTTATTCAAACACATGATGTTATATATCCTATTTTATCAATGGCTTTTGAATCAAAGTGGGAAAATATTACTACAGCAAGGAGTATTACAAAATCCATGTGAGCTGTTTAAATGCACTGTAGGAAAATAAATAATTCAACACACTTTTCATTTTTATCTTCTTTATAATTTTTGCTAAGAATATGAAGATGTATTATTGATGCTGACCGAAGTTAGCAAGCATTTCATGTACATATTATCAGTTCTGAGATCCACTTAATATCGACAGACAATTCCAAGAAACATGATCTTTTCATGCATTTTAAGTAAAATTTCTATTTCTTCAAAGCGTTACACAAATCAAAAAAATTTTCAGTTAGGATCACCTGTGAAAAAAACAAAAGCCAAAATCTTATATATTTTTACCTGGTCTGGGTACCGGCTGTGCTGCAGGAGTCTGAGTTTTACGAGCAGATGCACCCTCCTTTAAAAGAATAAAAATTGATATATGACATCAAAGTTCCTTTACATTATAATTAAACACTTCATTGCAAATAAATCTTGCATCCATCATATTCAATCAGTTACTCCATCACTACACTACTAGTTATAAGATAGTAACAGAGACCTTCAGTGGGAAATTTAAACTTAAATTGTTACTCTAGTTAAGCTGTAAGCATGTAATTTTTTGTTTTAGTTAGTTGTGGTTTTTTCCACAGGGCAGGGAGAAAGACCACGCCACAATCCTTCCTCCTCCAGTCTCCTCTTAGGATCAAGGGCAGGCACGTTGATTTTCAAGCTGCCAGTTCAGGGACTGCAGCTATGCAGGTTAAAGGATCCAGACCCTTAACCTCCAAGAGTCTTGCTGGCCCAGCATGTAACGTTTTAATAATTTGCTTAATTGTTGACTATTTCAATATTCAATATCATTCATTGTTTCAAAATCAAGTAGACTTTTTCCCTCTCAACAGTCTCAAAATGAATAAATGATACATAACCTCATGTTAAAAAGATGTCAATAAAATTAGTTTGGCGTACATCAGAAAACAACACAAAGATTTTAAATAACTAAATGCTTTTAAAATACTCAGGGGAAAAAAGTCACATTTATAAACAAATCTCCTGTGGCATCTGAGTTAAAAGTGAATGAAAATACCTTAAAAACTAAGTGACAAATCTCAACTAATGACTGCACATGTAATATGCTACAAGGAAAAATGCTAAGTGCTAAAGTCTACCGATTACATACTTAGGAATAGATGTTACTGGAAAACTGAGAACATTCACTAAGTCATTTGTCTTTAGTGCAATGGTTTCAATCATATTCACACTAATGTTCGTAACATATTTTCAATCATATTCACACTAATGTTCGTAACATTTTTATTTACAGAAAGCTGCAAATTAGATTTTATAACAACTATGAGTTCAAGGAGATTTTACTCAAGCTGTATACAACAGAAGGAAATCTGACAAATACCAGGGGAGTTTATATGAACCCATAATAATAAAAATTACCATCAGCTCACAGGAAACATTTTCAAGGAAATATCACTAAATAATAGATTTTCTTTAAATTTTATTTATTCATTCATTTATTTTCATTTGACCAGAGAGAGACACAGAAGAGAGAGAGAGAGAGACGGAAAGTGAGAAAGCAGGCCACCAGGTCTGGGACTCGAACTGTGGTAGACCACGTGGCAGTGTCCAGTGCCTTAACCACAACATCACGCTGCCTGCTGGCCCCAATAATGGCTACTTCAATTACACTACATTCCCTTCAAAATTTGAGATTTTACATGGCAAAATCGTTTGGCAGACCTGCCTGACAATGCATAAGCAGCACTACTGCTTGAGAGGCCAGAGACCACACTCGAGGCTTGGGTTTGGCTCCTGGGCCAGCCTGAGTACATCCAGTGTGTACCTGTAATCCCGGCTGAGTGGGAGGCTTAGGCAAGAGAACTGTGGCCCATGAGACCATGTCAAAAATACCTACCTCTCTCTCTCCCTTTTCCTTTTCCTCTCCCCCTCAGCCCTCGCCACACCTCACTGAGGAAAAAGGAGAAAATGAATACTAGAATACTACTGTATTGAAAGTGAAAGGTTATCCCACAACACTTTTTAAAAAATCAATTACTATAAAAACTCGGGACCAGCAGGTGGCATGGTGGTTAAGGCACTGGACTCTCCCATGTAGTTGACCATGGTTTAAGTCCCGGACATGGTGGCTTGCTTTCTCACTTACTTTCTCTCTCTTTCTCTCTCTCTCTGGTCTCTCTATAGTCAAGTTAAAAAGTAAGTGAATGAATACGTAAAATTAAATAAAAAATAATTCTTAAAAAAAATCAATTACTATAAAAACTGGACTCCCATAGAGTTGACTGAAGTTGACTGATTTGAGTCCAGACCCAACAGCTTGAAAATCACAAACAGATGAATAAGAAAAAAAAAAATTTTTTTCAAAAAAAAAAAAAAAAAAAAAAAAAGAGAGAAAGAAAGAAAGAGGAAAGGAAAAAGAAAGGCTTTTTCTGGTTTTTTTTTTTTTTCCTTTTTTTTTTTAATGAACTCTGAATGGCTGGTAAGACCTCTAGCCACAATGTAAGGAGGAGGTAAGAAGAGAATCACTTAGGAGCATGTTCCCCTGACCTACCAAGAAAACTCAGCAGAGAGTATGGAGCGAAAATTCAAGAAAAGAAGGTGGAGCATAGTGATACCCCTTATGACGCCTGCTCCCTGTCCATAGTTCTGGTGCCTACAAGGCCTACTCCATCTCCTCTCCCTTCCTGGCTATATGAGACCTTATAATCTTTTTTTTTTTTTTTTAGAGAGAGAGGTTTTCGCTATAGGGCACGGGCACTCTCCAGACAGACAGAGACAGACACTGAGACAGAAAGCGAGAAATCACCCCCCAGGGGGAATGGCCATGCCGCAATCCCTTCTCCTCCATTCTTCTCTCGGGATCTTGGGCACGCACACACACACGCCCGGCGTGAGTTTTAAGCCACCGGGCTGACTACGTGGGAGTCCAGCGACATAGCCATTACGCTAACTGCTGGTTCCCTGAGATGTTATAATCTTCATCTCACTATTACACACCCCAATTTTCCCTTCTGGCCTCAATCACTTGAGCCAAATTTCTGTCAGCTACAGCAGGAAAAAAAATTTACTTAATTTTATCTTCTCAAATTTACTGAAAATCTGCATTATCAAAGTCAATATAACTTTAATTTTTTTAGTACACACACAGTTATACAGCTATGACTCAGTAGCAGACAATAAACTTACTGGGGGAAAAAAAAAAAAACAAGAAGACCCTTGCTAATCAGGCCGCTGGTTTAGCCATCTCTCGGGCTCTAGCCAACATTAAGAGTTAGAAGCACATTCCACTCCAACTTCCATTATTTTGAAATAAAGCTGTACAAGTCGTTGCACAAAGGACCTCAGAAACCATATAACCCAATTCCAAACCCTCTGTCCTAAAGATGAAGAGACAAAGTGCTGTGCTTCTTCAAAGACTACCCCTTGCGTATTTATAAACCACGAACAATCATTTGGCGGTAAGGTGGAACGGATGGGTAGTTCTACATCTGAAAAGGTATTTGGATCCGGTGAAGAAATACTGGTCAGCCAGGGAAAGAAAGGTACCAGCACAAAAAGCAACCAAAGGGCTGACGAGTTGTGCTAACTGGAGAGGAACCCTGCTTTCTCTTAAAAAGCATGACAATTTCACCAAGACGTGGGCATTCTGGAAAAAAATCTCTGCATTAAAATGGAAGGGGAAAACAGTGATAGAATCATATTAGTGAAGCATAACAAGACAAAACAAATGTGCTGTTTACAAGCAGTCCTAGCTTGCCTTATTTAGTAAGATAATCTAATGTCTTTGGTACTGGAAGACGGAATACTATTGCTGCTTCAACAAGTAGAAATATATAACACCACAAGAAAAACAAAGTATCAATATGAAAAAGAATATACTGTATTTAGTTGATTTTTTAAGTTCTATTTATATGAAAATGCTAAAATACTGAAAATTCTTAATGAAGAAAACATACAGAACATATATGCAGTCTCTGGGAGTCTTGAATCTATTTTTCTGACTACTAATGAGAACTCACATTATGTTTTAAAAACTAAATATGGGGCTAGCTGGTTAAGGTGGTGGTTAGGGTGACTAGCTCCCACATGGTCAATTGTGCAGTTCAAGTCTCAGACCTGGCAGCTTCAAAACAAGCTGGGCACGCATTCATGTGTGTCCCTCACACATAGATTGGGGGGGGGGGGGGGCTTTTCTCCATAAGTTGGGGGGGGGGGGGTCCTTTCTCACTCATCCTCACCTCTCTGTCCAGCAAATGCACACATCCTCTGGCAAAATTAAAATAAACATTTACCTGTATGCTTTTCCCCTTTTTTTAAAAAAAGTAACTTTTTCCTATGAAATTTGGATTTGATCATTGGAATTCTAAATACTAAAATGTTTTTGGGGACCAGCAGTTAGCGTAATTGGCTATGTCGCTGGACTCCCATGTAGTCGACCGCAGTTCAAGTCCTGGACCTGGTAGCTTAAACTCACGCCGGGCACGTGTGCGTGCGTGCCCAAGATCCCGAGAGGAGAATGGAGGAGAAGGGACTGCGGCGTGGCCATCCCCTCTGGGGGATGATTTCTCGCTTTCTATCTCTGTCTCTCTTTGTCTGGCGAGCGCACGCGCCCTATAGCAAAAACCTCTCCAAAAAAAAAAAACTAAAATGTTTTTAAATAAGCATATGCATATACACTTCCTTTTTTTTTTTTTTTAAGAGAGATTTTTTGCTATAGAGTGCATATGCTTGCTAGAGAGACAGAGATGACCAGGAGGATAACCATGCCACAGTCCCTCTTCCTCCACTCTCTTCTCAGGATTTTGGGCACACACACACATTTGCCTGGCATGAGTTTTAAGCTACCAAGCCCGGGACTCAAACCTCAGTCAACTATGTTGAGTCCAGCAATGTAACTGTTACACCATCTGCTGGTCCCAAGTGTGTACATTTCTAAGAATGCTGAACAAGTCTTTTATTTTTTTTCCTAAAATGTGTTTTGGAAAAGAACTGTACAAAAGGGTAACAGCAACTCTGGGGACAAATTACAATAAAGCTAAAAAACACAGAAGATTTTAAAAGCAAAACATTTTAACACAAATCGTAAGCACAAATTTTTTTAGGCTTGTCATAACCGGGAGGCATATGTACGCTACATTTGCTAATACAAAAAATAGTTAGCATACTTAACAGTGCATAGTATTTCCCTCCCTTTACACATACAGATAAAGGGCTCTGGAATTTTAAAATAAATAAATAAGCTCTCTCTCCTTCCTTAGATCAGCAATTCTCTCTGGAGAGGTAACTACAAATGTTCAACTCACAGTGGAGTTCCCTCCCGTTAAACTCACCTTAAGGTGGACATACGTTTATGACAGCTAGCCTGCTGACGTCACAGCTTAGCCT